AACAAATATTTGTTGAGTAAATGTGCTGCTGAGGAGCCCAGACAGGCCGGTTATAGCTTTGGGGTGGCTATTGTGGGGGCACTGCAGGGGGCAGGGGAATGGTGCTTGGACTCGATGACCTCTGATGCCCATTTCACCTGGACAGTCCATAAGTGATTACCCCAGCGCTCCCCTGCTCCAGAATCCAAGCCCTGGGGGTCATCTGACCCGGCCATTCTCTATCCAGGTGAGGACACTTGGCCCTGTGATGGCAAGAGACCACCTGGGGTCACATAGGAGGCAGAGGCAGAGGCAGAGGCAGAGGCAGAGGCAGAGGCAGAGGCAGAATAGAACCCAGGCCTTAGGATCCCAGCCAGGGGTTTACTCCTTCCTTTGTCTTCTCTTTTGGAAGAAGGATCTGATTTTAGGTCAGGCCAGAAGGTTCCTCTTGGTGGGCAGGAGACAGGAAGGTGAGGGCCAATGTATCAGCCGACACTGCCCCCACCCCACTTATGCCCATTTCTGGATTAGTTGAGCCTTCCAGGCTTGTCTGTGGCTGGAAGAGAGGAGAGGAGAGGGATTCCCCAGGCTAGGCCTGGGTTTCCTTCCTGCCTGCCCCACCCCAGGGGTAGCTGTGTTGGGTGGCCTCCCTCTGCAGCTAATTCCTGGAGCTGGTTTGGTGGGAAGCAGACCCGGAGGGCTGAGGGGAGAGCAGAGCAGCATGGAGAGTGGCACGAGCCCGAGGCTGGACGTGAGGAGTCAGGTTCTCTGACTAACTTGGCTTTTATGCTCAGGGGTGACTGTGGATGAGTGGCTTCTCCATGCTGGGCCTTGGTTCCCCCTTCTGTAGAATGGGGCCACCATCCCTCCTCTGCTCTCCTTCCTTGAACTTGGTATGACTGGGACTGTACTTTGGGAGCTCTTCTGTGGTCTTGGGTATTGATCCTCTAGGCCTGGGAGGGAGGCAGGCAGCAAAGATGCTTAGGAGAGAGGCCACCTGGTCAGAAGGCCCAGTCCAGGCCAGGGCATGGAGCCAGGGCACAGCCAGCACTTACACTGCAGCGGCCATGGGTGGGGGTGTTGCTGCCACCGAGGTCATCCTCAGCCTGATCCTCACCATCCTGGTTGTCACGAGAAGGCGTGTCTCTGAGTGTGTGACTGTGGGTTCTGAGAGCACGCGTGTCTGCATTTGTGGGTGTGTCTGAAGGCGGGCCCCTCCCTCACCCTCCACTGCTCCTCACCTCCACTTCCAAAGTGCTTTCCTGAGTTTTCCTTCCTGACAAGGATTCCCAGCATGAGAGATGATAGAAGGGGGTGGAGTGTGGGGTGGGGACTGTACCTGAGCAG